TGGGAGAGACTGATGTTAAATTTAGCATTAAGTTTAGAGAATCACACCAGGGGCCTGATCGCCTAACTCGCGTTGCTTTAAAAATGCTAAAGTTTATGACGTCACACTGTCATTTGGAAACGCCTATGAAAGCCATAACGCTTTCACATTTACTTTGCGGCCGATGACAGCCATTAACAATTTTGAATGACATCGTTCAATTTCTCGCTACTATTTTGACAGGAAATCGAAACGCCTAAAAAAAGTGAAAGCGATTTCAAGATGGCGGGTAAGCGTTAAAGCTGTCAGATAAGCAGACAGTTATAGACTCACTGTTTTCATCTCATGCTTTCATACGATATTTATAATTCAATTTATTTTGCTTTATAAAATTAAAATATAGCTACTTTTGTCTTTTGTTAACCTAAGATTGTGTACTCTTGTAGTTTTTTTTCTGTTTTAGTGAGAAATGGCTCGAATATTTCTGTTGGTGGTAGCTGAGGAGGAGAGCCAGAAGACAATGCTAACCTTGCGAAAAAGACAGTTGCGGGAGGACAGCATGCCTATGTTGCTGCCGGAGCGAACGTTTGTCCAAACGTTCCGCCTGCGTAAGGATAATTTCCTTACTCTTTGCGATGACTTGATGCCGTTTTTGCATCCGACGCAAAGAACGACCTAAAGACTACGAAGAAGCATATTTTAACAGGAAAATGTACCTCTCCCTGTGCTTAATGTGCTTGCGGTAAGTAATAATTACATTAAAACCGCTTCCTAAATCTCTTCCAAATGCTTACATGATTACAGAATCACATATTATTTCTATATTTTTGAATAAATGTGGTCTATTGAATTATAATAAAACCTGTTAACAATCAAATACTCTACATTTATTTATAAAACAGTAAATATATGAAGCAACTTATTTTTTAATCAATTGTCTCTTAACAAATTTTGTGTTAAATGAATTATATTATACTAGCTGACCCAGCGAACTTCGTACCGCCATAAAAAAACATTGTCCAGTGGACAAAATTGTGAATCTAAACCATTCTCAGATCCCCTTGAACACACACAAAAAATTTCATCAAAATCGATCCAGTCGTTTAAGAGAAGTTCAGTGACATACACACTCACAGAAGAATTATATATATAAAGATTAGAATCGCTTCATACCAATAAAATTTAGTTTAATAAAATAACACTTTACACAAAGGTAGGTACCATACCAAAAGCATTTATACCATAACTTTTCAAAAATAATAATTTCTTGGAATGTGATACTCATATGAAATAAAATAGTTGTTTAAGCCTTAATATTATACTCTTTGATACAGATGTGTGATGCAGACTTACATATTTTGCATATGGATGCATCATTTGGTGGTGCAAGGCATGACGACTCTCATGTTTGGAATTGTTGCCCTGTGAAAAATGGAATTGAAAGGCTCCATGATATTGGACAGATCTACTGGTTCTTGGATATGTGTATTAAAAATCATTTGTTATCATTTTATTTGAATATTTTCATACAAAATAAGTGTTTTTGTATGTTAGTATTTTTCAGTGTTAGTTTTACAATATTTATTTTACAGATGACTCTGGCTATGCCCAAAGGGCATGGATGATGACGCCAATCCTCCATGCTGACCCAGGGAGACCAGAGGATCACTACACAAATTCACATGTGCGGACTAGGAATGTCATAGAAAGATGCTTTGGCATCTTCAAGACCCAAATCAGAAAGCAGGGAAAATCTTAAATGTATGTGTTGTTTTGCACAACCTTATTTGCGACTCATGTATCAAGATTGATGAGGATGTCATGCGTGTGATCATGACCGCCAACCACAGCGTGACATACTTGCCTCAAGTGGAGACAGGCCTGTCTGTGGCATCTGTCCTGCAAGACAGGCAGTTACTCTGGAGTAGTCATAACCATAATTGACCATTTAAAACTGTTTACAGAAACTTATGTGAAGAAGGATCTGTGAGCAGAGGCACCATACAAGATAAAATAGGTATCATAAGTTTAGTTTACAATTTATTGTATTTTATTTTTATTATACTAATTAATTATTAATTAGCACCTAAGTTTAATGTCTAAATTTAACATGTCATTTTTATATTTTCCTGTATGTATTGGTAGCTACATGATTTTATGTAAATGTTAAATGCTGATGAGTTTCTTGCGCCCATTCTTCTCACCAGCTAGAAGATGTCCTGTGTGGTAGTAGGAAAAAAATGTAGGATGATTGAAGAGCTCTCAATAAGTTAATTTGAATAAAATATGATTTCATTTCAAATTTGTTTTATTTAAATACAACTTTTGAATATGTACTAACTTTAAATGAGAAACTAGTTATTATTAATACTCTAGTTTAATTTGATTTATATAACTGTAATTTTATAAGTTGTTGTTAAATATTCATAACAATAAAATTTATTTCTTATTTTAGTGTTCAAATATTCTAAATTTACTTTCTATTAGCAAGTTACTAATTGGGTACAAATTGAATTTATTCATTTGAGAAATAAAAGGGAAACCCCTTGGACAAAGCTGGCTTGGAGAGCAAAAACTGGAAAAAGTTTATGGAGGCCTTTGTCAAAAGGCGCACAGAGTTAAAAGAGTATTAAAATGAACACAATAATTTATTTTTATATAAACAATGTTAACTCGGAATATAGACTCTAAATAAATAAATGATTTCATTTCAAAACTGTTTCAAACTTTTTAGTAGGTACTAATCAACTTTAAAGAAATAATTTCATTTCCTGACTACCCTATTGTTGAGAAGCATGGTAGACCTTATAACTGTGGTCACACCGCTATTCAGAAACCAGCCAGTATGTCTCCAAAGACCTACTAATTTAATAACACCTATTAGCTATTAATTCTTAATAGATTTTTATTCTACTTTTTTACTCAATAAACAACAGCTGTGAGACCATGACCTAGGAAAAGGTTGCAAGGTGATAAAGTTGAGGAGGGAGCTTACGATAATAATATTCAGTAAATAAAACATTCAGTAGTATTGCTGTTATATTTTAGTAAAAAGATTACCATAATCAACTTCAGATACAAATGCACATTATTTATTTCCATGAGTTACAGTCTTATAGAACCAACATAATACATGAGTAATATCTCTCAATGCTTGGAGTACGTCCCTCCGCAATTGCTGTTCCTCCAGTTGGCGCTCCTCAATTTTTCCCCATGCAGTTGACTGTCGCAAAGCCGGCAGTTTTCCAGCTCAAAAATCCAATACAGCTGAAACAAATTACCAGCGTTTTCTAAAAAGGGATTGTTTGTATTTTCCAGTTTTTGAAACTTATCAAGTGGTGTGTTATTATTCTTTACAAATGAGTCTATGGGTCCTACCATGTTACATGAAATTAATCAGTGGTAAAGATATAGACCTCCAAAGGTTTTTATAGGTAACACTTTACTCTTGGTACTTTCCATAGGATGGATGCTTAATTAAAACAGGTAAGGCAACATAATTGAACTTACAAAGTTATTAAGTAGGTGAATAAAATAACATTGATTGATCATAAGCCAGGCTCAGCCAAAAAGAAAAAAAAATAGTTAACCTTTTAACAGCACCTTATGTATGGGGGAGTTACCATTTTCAAATTAGTAATTGAATTCCATGCAATAGTACAAATACAGAACACATAACAAGATGCCTTATAAACTTTATACAAAATAATAGTAAAGTAACACTTACTTTAGATCACCACTCCTTTGGTGTTTTAGTAACATCATTAATTGCGTTTAGGAGGGACGCTAAACTCTTCCATAGGCCCATCGAAGCCTGTTTGGCCTGTGCGGGGCTCCAATTTGCGTCCCTCTAGCCTGGAATGGGTGCTCCTCCATCCATATTAGTAAGGCCTCCAACTGTACGTTGGAGTTGTAGACTTAATATGGTGCCGGTTTCTAAAATGTTAAATACTAAATTATAATGACGAAAATGCGATTATCTTTGACAAAATTAACATGATCTTCGTGATAAAGTAAAGTTATTAAATTTCTTGAATTATTTTTGTTTACTCAAAAAGTACTTACTTAGTCAAGTTTCTTCGATGTGATACTTTCTTTCTAAAAGTTATCAAATTTCTAATTTCTATGCGACGTATGCTCAATATTATTCGAGTTTGTTATATGTATACTTGACATCAGCCTGTCCTTTTCATTCTTTATAAAGCATGATAAGGACAGATTGCTGTCAAATTAACAAATAGCAAACACGAATGGCCAAGTGAAGTGCTGACAGCAGTTATGGCATACGTTCAGAACATATGCTTCAGGTACAAACAATGTATATTTTGACATACATTTTATGTATTTGTTTCTTAGGTTTGATAAATAAATAAAATTAGTGCATCTAACCCGTTGAAACTTGTTTTATTTAATACATTTTATGTCAAAATTGATAAATCAGGGTAAAAAAAATGCACCCAGAGCATAAGTTTAGAACGTAGCCAGATGTAACAGACATAGCGTTTTGTTTGTGCAATTTATGGTACCCAATTAAAATTTTCTTATGTCTTTGATTTAAGAATAATTTTGTAAGACTAATTAATAAATATTAATATTTATGCCACCCTATGATAATATACATTTGTAAATTAAATATTAATGTATTTCAGTCAACTATAAAATGAAAAGAATTTTGTAAAAAAATACATGAACATAACGCAATTGAATCGTTCACTCACGTAAGCATTTGATAACCATAAGCATTACGACACGTCGTGAATTTTAGGCGTTTCGATTTTATCGCAGACAGAATTTGAAAAAGTTATGGCTGTCAACTTTCGTAATGCTCTCGCTTTGACTTAGGCGGTCAGGCCGCAGAATGAAAACCACTGCACTGTTGTCAAATTTGAGTTAAGATTTAGAGAATCGAGCCAGAATCGACACCACTGTTATCAAATTTAAGTTTACGTTCAGAAAATTATGTCAGAATCGGCACCATAAGCTACGTGGCTTTGCCTTTGTCTTTCCCAATGGGGAAGAATAAAAAAAACAATGATTGTTTTGTTTTGTTTCAGTATTTTTTTTACTGTGGCTAATAAATTTACTATAATCACAGAGTACATTGTATGCTATTGCTGTATCGTTTGCTCTGTCTAAGCTGTGGTAACAAACAGCTTCAACAACGAAATCACTAAATTATCAGTCTTCCAAAGTGCACAAAATAATTGTTTAAATAAGAAATGTCAGAAGCCAATGAAAGTCCTGTACTTTTACCTCACCATGAGCAGCAGCCACTGTGCACTACGCGCTTACCTTACAGACAGGGAAGAAAACTTACAGCTGTCAAAGTATGTACCTACATGTTTCTTGCAACGTAAATACCTGAGTTAGCTCAACATAAGTATACCTTAGCCTGTTCTTTCTGTTTTCCCTATTCTTAGGTCCTTGTACTTGCACAAAGCCCATTCACAGCATCTGCAGAGTTAAAAACAATAGGAAAGCCCTCACCAAACAAAGCTAGACAAAAAATTTTGGACACAATCACTGGATATTGGCTAAATCCCGTGGGAGCCATCACTGAAGAAATCTAATCTAATACCTATGTTTAAGCAGAAAGCGACCAGCGAGGGCATTTTTTTCTATAGATCAATGTTAAAGTTTGATACTGTTTAATTCCAAAGAGTACCAATATTCCATTAGTGGCTTCACAATCATTCTTTAACGTTGGTCCACGAGAAGACATTTTTGCTAGCTTCAAAAATGCTTGCTGGTCGCTTCTGCTTAACAATGCTCAATTAATACAGTTGCCTTTCACATTTAACTATTTAGTATCTTATCATTTACTAAACATTCCTATATTTTTTTCCAGACTTACACAGTGGTGAACGAGTCGAACCATCTATTAATATTTGGTGTACCCACACTGAATCTTCGTCAAGAATTGAAGGCGTTGTACTACAAGTTTGGTAAACTAATTCACTTCAATGTTACCAAGGAGCATATAGCAGAAGAATTTACGGAGACATACCACGCTGCCTTCTGTGATATTCAATCTGCAAGACAGGCTAAAAGATTTACTGACACAAAGAACTTCTATGGTGGATGTTTGCATGTGTGCTATGCACCGGAGTATGAAAGTGTTCAGGAGACGAGAAATAAATTGTTGCAACGGCAACGAAATGTATTATTTAGGCTTAAGAATTTGCAGAAACAAAGTAATCATGAAGTTGAAGTTACAGCAGACATTGCTAAACATAATGTTGTGGACTCATCAAAAACTGATAAGGATTCTAGCGTGAAATTGAATATGGGTGAAGTTAACACAATTTCGATACACAATGAAGTCAATAGAAAGAGAAAGGATCAAAGTAATTGTGTCGTTCAGAAGAAATTCAAACCTTGTTTCGTAGATAACATTAATGTACACGAGAAAAATAATATGAAAACCAATGACATTGCTTTAAAAAATAAATGTGATAGAACTTTAGAAAGTTGTAGAACTAATATTAGTACTAGTCCTGAAGAAATAATAGATTTCACTTCGACCGAGACAGAAACAATAACAAATATTAACGATAGTTTAAATTATAGAAACTTTGGCAACGAAGACATTAGAAAAGTACAACAAAAGCCAATCAATAGGATCAAGTTTAATTTTATGAAATAATTACAGAATTATTTAAGTTTCATGATTGTTTTTCATTTCTTTTTCATACATTATTCAAATTTCTGGGCAATTTCAAGAATTTGAAATTTTCATCATCATCATCAGCCTATTAATGTCCCCACTGCTGGGGCACAGGCCTTCCCTATTGAAAGAATAAGGAGATTGGGCCATGACCCACCACGAGGGCCCAGTGCGGGTGCTAAAGACTGCAGATGCAGCCGGGACCACAACAGCTTATCGTGCATTCCGAAGCACAGAGGAACTCGAGATAAAAGATGTTTATCTTCTACCAAACGGTCACCCATCCAATGACCACCACTGGCTAAGTAGTTTAACTTCAAAGATCGTAGCCGAACGCGCTAACCACCTGCGTCATCGAGTTCCTCCTGGAAATTGGGAATTAAATTTTACTAAAATTGATGCCTTATTTTCTCTTAGTAACATATGCTGGGTGAAAATATAATAAAAGGCAGTAAATAAATAAATCAATACTTTTTTATTCAGCTTGTTCGATCTCATCGTCCGGTGGCATTTCTTCTTGGTCATCGAATTCAGCGTCCTCGACTCCGACTTCCTGTGAATTTGGTGGTCATTAATATGCTAAAGTAACATCATCTATTAATGTCCCTACTGTTGGGGTAAAATAAAATGGTATTTTCATTTCCTGTATTTATAACAAAACTAAAGTTCTTATTCTTCCATTTTCCAGCACTCATTTTCTCTACGTTACATAATTATAATTTATTTCCTTCGTTTGTTTACAAATGTTAGGTATTTATGATGAAAAAACGACGAAAAAATCTTAGAACACTTTTTTAACACTGAGCTAGTGCTGAAAAAAGTGTTCTAAGATTTTTTTTGCTAACCGTAGTTTTTAAGCTGCATTTGACAGATGGAGGTCATTGGTTTCTCTATTCTTATTTGAATCTCATAGAAGCTCCTTTTTATCATGGTCAATAGGGATGATGACTAATTTTTTTTCTTCGTTCATCAGGTAGATTATCAAAAAGTATTGGACACGTATTTTTTCTTTTTTCACATAATATAAACATTGCAGAGATATATTGATTTGAAAAGTCGCATGACGCCACGTTTTGGTACAATTTCCACTCAAAAGTGAGGTCACGAGCCCCTACTCCCAAACTTTGACGCGCTATAACTTTGTCATTTTTTGGTTGATTGCCCAAAGAAAAAATACGTGTCCATTATTTTTTGGATCATCTAACTGACGGACTAAATAGAATTTCGTTTACTGTACCCCGTGATCATGCCTATTGTCATCTATGTAATAAATACAATAAAATCCCGGCCATCTGGCAACCCTAGGTGTGATACGTACATTATGGCGTAATAATTATGATATGTGAGAGGGGGAGAGAGAGAGAGAGAGTAGGGATGTCGAAAGTTGAAAAAAATATCGATATATCGATACATCGATCTTTTAAAAAATATCAATATCGGCTTCGATATATCGCGAAAAAAACATCGATATATCGGACCAATTTTCCCAAAAATATCGTACAGTAGCTCACGAAATATGACACGCGGAATAATAATGGAACGAAAATTATCTCCCTAAAAATAGACCCTATTTTCGAATGATGAAAATGATTGCAGGGTCTCTTTCGTTAACAAGACTAGACAATCACACACTTCACAGAATATAATGGAAATCAGCACAACCAATTCACCAGCGAAACAGATTTACAAATAATAGACAATACTAAATACAGCACAGATCATAGATATGTTGAATATCATTAATCTGAGATCCAGTTACGATTTTTCCAGATACGAATTTAGTTAGATCGTGATATGCCGCTAATAATTAAAAAAAAAGTTTTTGATACGAATTTTGATATTGGTTATTTTGTACCGATGTATCGATATATCGAATCAAAATATATCGATATATCGATACATCGATATATTTTCAACAAGCCTAAGAGAGAGATTAAATATTAACCATTAATTGTCACACGAGTATTATAACAACAATGAAAGAACACATAAACATTAACATAAAAAACAAAATTGAAAACTAACTTAAAACTATAAAAGTAAATTAATGGTTAATCAGGAGCCTGCCTCAGCATGATGCTGTTGCCACACGTTGCTATGTGAGTGACAACAGCGCTGGTATCCTGGCAGGGCCTGTAAGGTGAACTATGATATATATATGGAGTGTGGTGTGATACATACAGTGAGGTGACATCAATGTGTGTGATATGTGAAGATTACTTGACTCGTACTGCTGGTACTCGGACACGAGGTCGTTCAAGTTGCTCTCAGATATATGTATGAAGTGTGATAGGTATGATATGTGTATGAAGTATGATATATATATGGAGTGTGGTGTGATACATACAGTGAGGTGACATCAATGTGTGTGATATGTGAAGATTACTTGACTCGTACTGCTGGTACTCGGACACGAGGTCGTTCAAGTTGCTCTCAGATATATGTATGAAGTGTGATAGGTATGATATGTGTATGAAGTATGATATATATATGGAGTGTGGTGTGATACATACAGTGAGGTGACATCAATGTGTGTGATTGATACATATCAAAGGTCACTTACCTCGTACTGCTTCATGCTTCATGTTCATGTTGCTCTCAGATGTATGTACGAAGTGTGATAGGTATGATATGTGTATGAACTATGATATACAGGGTGTTACAAAAATACAAATAAAGCTTGAAGGGCGTTGAAGTACATCATATAAGGAGTCTTCTCTAATTATTTTAAAATATTTGCATGAAATTTAAACTTTTTATAAAAACTGTTATTTTTAATGATCCTCGAACTAGTGACGTGTCTTAAAATGACCGATATTTTTATTAAACATTCATGCAACTATTTTAAGACTAATTTGACGACCTCCGTGGCCGAGTGGTTTGTACGCCGGGTGTCATGGTGTCGCCGACTCGAGAGGTCCCGGGTTCGAATCCCGGTGGGGGCAGATGTTTGTGTGATGAATACGACGCATTTGTACTCCATTAATGGATGTTTAATATGTATTTCTATATAAATATGCTTATATATGTACAGTATATGTATTCTATCCGTTACCCTAGTATCCCATAACACAAGCCTTACAGTGCTTACTTTGGGGCTAGGCTAATTGGTGTGAGTGCTGGAAATATTTATTTATTTATTTATTTTAAGAAAATTAGACAAGACTCCTGATATGATGTACTTCAACGCCCTTCAAGCTTTATTTGTATTTTTGTAACACCCTGTATATCATAGTTCATACACATATCATTGTGTGTGATATGCGAAGGTCACTCACCTCGTACTGCTGGTACTCCGACACGAGGTCGTTCATGTTGCTCTCCGCTTCGGTGAACTCCATTTCGTCCATACCCTCGCCCGTATACCAGTGGAGGAAAGCCTGTATACCAAATTACAAATATCACAAAGTGTATTACAGAACCATTTATGAGGAGCTCGATAGGGTGGGTGGTAAGCCGAACGCGTGTTCGGCTGCGATCGTTGAAGTTAAGCAACTTTCGCAGTGGTCGGTCATTGGATGGGTGACCAAAATTTTTTTATCTCGAGTTCTACAGTGCTTCGAAAGGCACGTTAAGCCGTTGGTCCCGGCTGCATCTGCAGTCGTTAGCACCCGCCAATCCGCACTGGGCCCGCGTGGTAAGTCATGGTCCAGTCTCGCTATTCCATCCAAAACGAAGGCCTGTGCCCCAGCAGTGGTGACATTAATAAGCAGATGATGAATTAATGATTTTTTTAAGCATATAACTGCTCGATGTTGAAATCTAAAGAAAATATTACTAGAAAAAATTCCACGCGGACCAGGCAGCGGACGGGACTCGAACCCGCACCCTTCGCAATCCGGGCGAATGCACTGACCAATTATGCTACCGCAGCCCTGACGGCCGCGTCAAAATTCCTCTAGCCATTCTTAAGCTGCAAGGCAGCGCCATCTCTTCGCATTGTAGGTAACCCACAATGTCAAATGAATACTTTTACAAGTATTAAACATTTGAAAGAAGAAATAGCAATTACAGTTATTAAAATTTTTATTTTAGAATTAAATACAAGCAGTTACATGCTTAAAAGATAAAAATTACAGCCCTTGTTGAGTTTCTTGCCGGTTCTTCTCAGTACAAGGTCTCCCGCCGTAGTTTTGCGAAGCGATGGCAGAAGTCAGAAGTCTTTATTTGCATAAAATATGGTGTTTAAAAGACATTTACATTTGTGTTTGATGTTATAATGCGATTCAAATAAGAATACGAAAGCCAATGACCTCCATCTGTCAGATGTCGCTTGAAAAGTACGGTTTGCAAAAAAATCTTGGAACCCTTTTTTAGCACTCAGCTGATTCAAGAATAAAAACCAAACATTTGTAAACAAACAATAACAAATATTGATAATTAATATCGGTTGATATTTTTTTTTCACTTATTGAGCTTTGGCCATGAATGGTTGATAACCTAAATCGTCAACCAAATGTCACTTTAAGTTGCGTTCAGAAACTCGAATTCAAACTTTCGTTTACATAAAGGATGCATGTTCGTATGTGACCTAGTAATAGTGCATGATTATTCAGAACTTCTCCGGCGGTAATGCAGAGATGAGCGGAATAGAAGAGCTACATTCTGATTAATGTTTTTTCTCACACAGTCTTAATAAATAAATATTATTTAAATCGGTGTTATTTTTCTCTCAATCTTAGTAAATAAAAGTTATTAAAAATAATTTGAATCTTAGTAAATGAGTTTTATTAAATAAAAACTTTTTTTTCTCACTCTTCCTATTTGGTTTGAATTGACAGCTATGACGTCACAATATGGCGCCCAGTCGGTCCTATTCTTAGTTGAATCGCATTATATTATGTTACACATTAAGTATAAATAGAGTATCGGATATTTTACTGTCACACAGCATGCAATGGAGAATACGCAAAGCTTGACATAGATGGCGCTGCAAACGCTTGACCCTAACTACAGCCGAATATTGCAGCTGTCATATTTTAAACGTGTTTTTTGATGTGAAAAATCTATACTTATAATAAATCTGTAGAGAGGTCAATTCTGTACATGAAATATATTTTCAAAATAACTATCAGGGGATGATTAGTGATCGATACTGATGCCAAAAATGCAATCAGTAAAATTTTTGTCTGTCTGTCTGTCTGTCTGTCTGTATGTTCCTTATAGAAACAAAAACTACTCGACAGATTTTAACGAAACTTGGTACAATTATTCTTCATACTCCTGGGCAGGTTATAGTATACTTTTCATCACGCTACAATCAATAGGAGCAGAGTAGTGAAGGGAAATATTGGAAAAACGGGAGAAGTTACTCCATTTTTTAAGCTTCCGTCGCGTGTGCAGCTTTAATGGTTAAAGTTACATAGAAATCATGTGTGACGGAAATATTCTACATAAAATTGTCTAAAAAATATCCCGCAACAGCATATGTCTATCTTTTATGGTTGACTCACGATAACACGTGTAATTATATAAATAAAGTTATTGTTTATAACACAAGCCTGAGAACAAAAACTATAGTTTACAGCTCTACACCGAAGCGAAGCGAGGGCGGGCCACTAGTATTAAATAAATGGTGAAAATGTATTCATCATGGTCTGTAATACAGCTGAAAACAGAGTTGAAAAGGAGAAGCAAGGCAGAAAAGGTAATCTAGTAGAAAGGTACTATTTCTATTATTATGCTAGAATGTTCATTCTCCGTAAATAGATGCATTTTCCATGATTATTTTAATAGTTCATGGATCTCAGTAACTTTTAGCGGGCTCATTAGTCAAATCTATCTCATTTTTGCATCAGTCAGACATCTTATAGAGTTAGGTTACGTCTGGCTAAAATGGGAAGTATAACATTGGGTTTTTGAAGTGAAACTTCTTTATCGGCGTTGGAAAAAAATTTACCGTCACATTTTTTCGGTTACGCGTCACGTTTTTTGGTTACGCGCCATCTTTTTTTTAAAAGAGCACTATTTACCTCATCCGAACAATTGCTTCTTCTGTCAACTTCAAAAAAAAAAAGTATCGACAGCAAATATTCGTGTTTCACACAAGGTAAGGTAAGGTAAGGTAAGGTAAGGTAAGGTAAGGTAAGGTAAGGTAAGGTAAGGTAAGGTAAGGTAAGGTAAGGTAAGGTAAGGTAAGGTAAGGTAAGGTTATACCCCTTTAGTGGGTGAGTTTTTGAAAAATCTTAGCGCACGCCTATATATATATTTCTGGAAAGTTGCATGTAGATCATTTTTCGAAAAAAATAAGGCCATAAAGAAGTTTCACTTCTTACGTGTGTACACTAGTACACGCACACATTTTTTTTTTTACAGACTTGAAGCATATGACCGCAATTTTAATTTTGGTATAGCTTTTTCTGATCAAAATGAAGACATCCAGATGCAATTAACTGCCCTAGATATATACCATGATGTTCACATCAGCTCAGTTTTACCCTCCCTTTCAAAGCAACATATAAAATTATATTTTAGTCGGTAAGCATGCAGTATTCTCACAACAACCAGGAACTACACAACGCGGCATTTGTATGTTGTTTAATAAAAAGCTTTAAAATGAATATAAGCTAATAGGTATGTATTTGATAGAAGTTTTGGGTCAAGCGATTACAGCGCCCCTAGTGGCCAAATTTTGCAGATTTCTTGTCCATTAAGAAAACATATCAAATTAAATTAAAACGGACTTTCTGGCGGGATCGGGAAGCGTCACTTTAGCAGTTCAGTTTTTCTTGTTAAAAATTGTGTTGTGGCGGATGTTAGTGTCTAATAATGGTGGATTATTAACCACTAAGTGTTCGGGAACATGCACAAGTGATGGCAAGTGAAACGAAATAGCGGAAAGTGTCTTTCGACGTTCCCTCAACAAGTCCACGGGGAGGTTCCAGTAAATCCTCACACTTTTACTGAAACATGGGGAAAGGGGGTTTGACTTGACTGCCACTTACTATGACTTGATTTATTAGTTTGACCACGAGTACTATAGTATTTGTAAATATTTTAACACTTGACATTGGCTAAATGCACAAACCGTGCGAAGCCATCCAGAAATAAAAAAAATGTGTGCGTGTACTAGTGTACACACGTAAGAAGTGAAACTTCTTTATGGCCTTATTTTTTTCGAAAAATGATCTACATGCAACTTTCCAGAAATATATATATAGGCGTGCGCTAAGATTTTTCAAAAACTCACCCACTAAAGGGGTATAACTACACCTTACCTTACCTTACCTTGTGTGAAACACGAATATTTGCTGTCGATACTTTTTTTTTTAAAGTTGACAGAAGAAGCAATTGTTCGGATGAGGTAAATAGTGCTCTTTTAAAACAAAGATGGCGCGTAACCAAAAAACGTGACGCGTAACGTCCGAAAAAATGTGACGGTAAATTTTTTTCCAACGCCGATAAAGAAGTTTCACTTCAAAATGAAATAACTTCAAAACAATTTAAAATCATATCCTTTAAGAGTTTTTGGCGGGATTTCATCGAGTGCGGTTGGAGTCTTATTTTAATTATTCTTAAATTCGTTGATAGTGGATATTGTGAAATAGAATTGGTGTGATTTTGTGTTACAACCGTCTGCGCAACTGAAGAATTAGTGGAATCTTTAAAATATACGCTATTCCGGTCAAGTGGACGCGAGAACTTTATTGCAGTGTTGACTACCTCACAGAGGCTTATCGAAAAAGCCAACTCGATATATTTCGTGCCAAACACTCCAAGAAACATTAGAATGCGTCACACCCACATTCTAATGTAAAAAAGAAAAATTAATACAAAAATAAGACGATGGCTGCATGGCTTTGCCTTTGCCTTTCCCAATAGGGAAGAGTAGATTGAGGCGTTTGAAGTTGTGCATATTATCGTTTTTTCCGTAAACTAGCTGCGCTAGAACGATCAGTACAAAAAAAGGAAAATAGTATTTGCAAATATTCTACATTAACTTACAATAAGAAGAATAAATCTACTGTTTACTTCTATTGGAAATAGTCAAAATCTTTTCTAAGGGGGTAAACGAGGCGCTCAAAAATTACGATTATTTTCTTGCAAAAAATGTGAAAGGGCTCTTAAGCTGCAATAATGAAATCTATATATATATATATATATATATATATATATATATATATATAAAACTCAAAGGTGACTGACTGACATAGTGATCTATCAACGCACAGCCCAAACCACTGGACGGATCGGGCTGAAATCTGTCATGCAGGTAGATGTTATGACGTAGGCATCCGCTAAGAAAGGGTTTTGATCAATTCTACCCCCAAGGGGATAAAACAGGGAATGAAAGTTTATATGAAACTTTGTCAATTTGAAACCGATCGGGCTGAGACTTTGCATGCAGGTATAAGAAGAATCATAGATGATTGTCATTGTGTATAATACAAGCCTGAGAACAAAAACTGTAGTCTACACTTCAGCTCTACACCGAAGCGAAGCGAGGGCGGGCCGCTAGTTAGAAATAAAGGTTCACTGCTCTACTAATACTGCACTAATAATATTCGTGCCAAATTTGAAGTAAATCCATGCAGTACTTTTTGAGTTCATCCCGGACATACATACAGGCAAACAGACAAAAAATCTAAAAACTATATTTTTGGCTTCGGTATCGATTGTAGATAACACCCCAAGTATTTTTTTAAAAAAAATTCAATGTACTGTTTTGACTTTCCTACCATTTTATTATATGTATAGATGGCGTATCCATTAAATTGCGGCTAGACACTTACCTTTCGTCTAAACATGACGGTGAACTGTTCGGAGATGCGTTTGAATATCTCTTGTATTGCGGTGGAGTTGCCAACGAAGGTAGCGGCCATCTTCAATCCTCGCGGGGGCACGTCGCAAACAGCCACCTTCACGTTATTAGGGATCCATTCTACAAAGTAACTGTGGAGAAAAGAAAAGTAATTATATTCAGACTAGCAAACCAGTGAACCAAATGTTCACCAAAAAAAAAAGTATTTAATTAATTGAGAACTTCGGAGATTTTGTGTGGTTTCGTTTGAAATAGAAATCACGTGATTTCTCGAAAACCGGAAGTGCTACGTTACTCACATCCGGTTTGTAGTCTTATCAGACTATTCTCAACTTATAACTTAAACATTCTCTTTATCTATCTCTTACGGTTTGGCCGCTGAAACAGCACCACGGACGGACGGACGGACGGACTTGTCTAATAGATAAGAGATGTTTGTGTGAGGAGCTCGATGGCGCAAGTGGTTAGCGCGTTCGGCTGCGATCGTTGAAGTTAAGCAACTTTCGCAGTGGTCGGTCATTTGATGGGTGACCAAAAAATTTACGTGCTTCGGAAGGCACGTTAAGCCGTTGGTCCCGGCTGCATCTGCAGTCGTTAGCACCCACCAATCCGCACTGGGCCCGCGTGGTGGGTCATGGCCCAACCTCCCTATTCCATCCATAGGGAAGGCCTGTGCCCCAGCAGTGGGGACATTAATAGGCTGGTGATGATGATGATGTTTGTTTGATAAATTCGAGCATTTGACTCCAGTCATGGATGTTTAATATGTATTTCTATAAAAATATATTTATACTAGGTGCCCCAGCGAACTTCGTACCGCCATAAAAAATAGGGGTCGATTGTAAAGGGTTGAAAATTCAGGGTTATATGTATTTACTAACGCTGTATCATAAAAAAATAAAAAAAAAATGGATGCGTGTAACTTATATACGCGCGTGAGAAGTTATACTTCTTTAGCATCATTAAAAATATTTTTTAATTGCATTCAAATAATTAATAATTACAATAAAATAATAAAAGGACTGGAAAAGGATAGTTAACACAGTCAATTAAGTTCAGTTTTAATTTGAAAAATTAAATAAATATTCAAAATAATCAATTAAAATCACTACTGAATTTAAGTTATTAGTCCATATGTAATTAGCAATTGTAAGTAACTAAAACACGTTGTGTCTATATAGAAACTAGAAACATGTGGATAAATATTATAAATATGAAAACAGTGATCAGAGGCGACGAGCGTGCCAACATTGTTTTTGACAACGCGATCATCTTATGGAGCTCCGTGGATCGTTCAAAGTACCTTTCGAACAGATGTCTAATAATGGTGGATTATTAACCACTAAGTGGTTAATAATCCACCATTATTAGACACTAACATTCATAACGCGCCCGCGGCCAACTTCATGGTGTTACTGTTGTTACAGTGATGCGCGCGCATCTCGAAATTTCACTCACATGATTTTTTCATAACGCGCCTAAAGAAGTATAACTTCAAAAATATCTAAAATTTAAAAAAAAAATTAGGGGTAGATTACCCTTAACATTTAGGGGGATGAAAAATAGATGTTATCCGATTCTCAGACCTACCCAATATGCACACAAAATTTCATGAGAATCGGGAAAGCCGTTTCGGAGGAGTTTAACCACAAACACCGCGACACGAGAATTTTATATATTAGATATTTATTCAATTCAATTCAATTGATTGCAGTCATGTGGTTACATGGATGGTTACAAGTTACAAAATGCATAAAGTACCTAACATGAACCCTGTCAGGGTATCGCAATATAGATAAAAATTACAAAAGAGAATTTAACAAATAATTATCTATATATGAAGAACCTAATATTTATTAAACAACTTTTTTTTTCTCAAAGCATGCATAAATGTCATCATTAATTTTATAACTTACTCAATTGATCTTATTTACAGTACCAGTTTAATTTTGTAATTATTATTATGGAATTTCTTTTATAAAATTAAATTTGTCAATAATTAAAATTAATAAATATGTCAATAAAAATAAAATAATATGTCAATAAACATGATTATATAATCTATTTATGTTGCTAGGCTACGCTTATTGTTGAATTAGAATTAGAATTTATTTATTTGCATTAAAATAGGGGTAAACTGGAGATGTTACAAATATAAAGTTCGCACCATTCTGTCATTTACAATAGCATGCAAATATTTAACATTGCATTAATTCATCATCATCAGCCCCTCAATGTCCCCACTGCTGGGGCACAGGCCTTCCCTATGGACGGAATAGGGAGATTGGGCCATGACCCACCACGCGGGCCCAGTGCGGATTGGCGGGTGTTAACGACTACAGATGCAGCCGGGACCAACGGCTTAACGTGCCTTCCGAAGCACGTAAATTTTTGGTCACCCATCCAATGACCGACCACTGCGAAAGTTGCTTAACTACAACGATCGCAGCCGAACGCGGCAACCACCTGCGCCATCGAGCTCCTCATGCATTAATTACATCAATATTATTAATTATCATTAAGCCATCAATTTCACATACCAATAACAATTTCTTAAAATACTACAAAAAACGAATTACATTATATTATCGTCAGCAAAATTACAACTATCAGTTTAGTCTTAACTTATTTCAGACTAAATTATTGAAAAGCTAACAAAATAAGATAGTCGATTAATAATCTTTATATATATAATTCTTCTGTGAGTGTGTATGTCACTGAACTTCTCTTAAACGACTGGACCGATTTTGATGAAATTTTTTGTGTGTGTTCAAGGGGATCTGAGAATGGTTTAGATTCACAATTTTGTCCGCTGGACAACCCCTATTTTTTAGGGCGGTACGAAGTTCGCTGGGTCAGCTAGTGTACTTATATATGTACAGTATATGTATTCTATCCGTTACCCTAGTATCCCATCACACAAGCCTTACAGTGCTTACTTTGGGGCTAGGATAATTGGTGTGTTTTAAAAAAAAAGAAAAAAAATGTCAATTATAGAATAAAATGCAAAATAAAAATTAGAATTGTTGTGTTTTAATAAAAAAAAGTGGGAATTTTCGCTCGAAATTTCGTTTTTCGTTGAATTAGAATAGGCCTCCAGCTACGTATCTGTACCTTGGTATAGAGAAAGAAGATGAGAGACCGCTAGCTATCTTTCTCTCTTGTGACGCATGGCATCACATCGAAATAGTGAGATGCTTACGGTCGCCAATGCGCATGCGCGATTAGAGGGAGAAAGCTAGCGGTCTCTCATCTTCCTTCTCTTTCTATTAGAGGGACACTTCCACCTGTAGTAGAGTCTATATCAGGGGTATACAAACAAAGTTGGTAAAGTCCATAAAATTATAAAAAGCGAGATTTAAATTACAACACATTCATTTCCGTATCTATATTTGTCCCGTAGAATAATTTTATACGAATCCTAGAAATATCGACTGTTATTTCAAATCTCTTATCTATTAGACAAGTCCGTCTGTCTGTCTGTGGTGCTGTTTCAACGGCCAAACCGTAAGAGATAGATAAAGAGAATATTTAAGTTATAAGTTAAGAATAGTCTGATAAGACTACAAACCGGATTTGAGTAACGTAGCACTTCCGGTTTTCGAGAAATCACGAATTTCAAACGAAACCACACAAAATCTCCGAAGTTCTCAAATTAATTAAATACATCTTTTTTTTTAAATCAGGTTTTGGTGAACATTTGGTTCACTGGTTTGCTAGTTGAAAATTAACTTTACAAACAGAGTACGTAGCAAAGTCCAAGTGAGTTGAGTTTCAATTCGCATAAAGTCCTTTTCGACCAATAGGAAGGCTCCATTGCCTCCATTTCACTGACAGCTGTCATGGCCGCCTTTGATGAATCCAACCCAGTCCAAAAATTTGGTAACAAATAACATTCAGTTAGTAAACTTAGTAAAGTCCAAAACTTGGTAACAAAACTGGGAAGGTCTACATTATACTTAAGTATTTAACTTAAAAGTATTGCACTGAACGTGATGAACACTTGTATTTCCATAATGCATTGCATTCTGCATATAAATAATGTTTAAATCTAAAGAAAAGTTTACTAGAAAAAAATCCACACGGACCAGGCAGCGGACGGGACTCGAACCCGCACCCTTCGCAATTCGGGCACTGACCATTATGCTACCACGGCCCTATTAGCCGCGTCGAAATTCCTCTAGCCATTCTTAGCTGCAAGGCAGCGCCATCTCCTCGCATTGTAGGTAACCCACAACGTCAAATGAATACTTTTACAAGTATTAAACATTTGAAACAAGAAATAGCAATTATTGTTATGTTTTTATTTATTTTTAAGCATTTAACTTGTGGGTTACCTACAATGCGGAGAGATGGCGCTGCCTTGCAGCTTAAGGCTAGGAAAATTTCGACGCAGCGAATAGGGCCGCGGTAGCATAATGGTCAGTGCCCGAATTGCGAAGGGTGCGGGTTCGAGTCCGGTCCGCTGCCTGGTCCGCGTGGATTTTTTTCTAGTAAACTTTTCTTTAGATTTAAACATCTAGCAGTTAAATGCTTAAAAATAAATAAAAACATAATAATAATGTTTAACATTAGAATAGTTACCTGTAATTATTAAAATAATCTTTTTATCTTTTGCGAACATTTTGCCAATGTGGACTTTACCAACTTTGGTTGTATACCCAACGATAATAAATACCCTAGATACATCAACACGAACAAAATCGTGCCCGAAACCTGTCCAAAAAGTACATTGAACGATACCACGGAGTTCCGTAAAATGATCGCGTAGTTTAAACAATATAAAACATTATTTAAACATTGAAAATCACCTTTAAAGCACACTGTATAAGGTCTTAATTAATACGCAGGCTTCAAAGAGTTACGACAGTCCGAAATGTAAGCTCGTAAAATTTTACGATTTATTGCTATATGCAGAAGATTATAGACCTTATTTCTTTGACTCTACGCGCAATTCTGAACGCGCTGTTAGCAATATAGCAGACACGGACCGCGAGGAAAGGAGACAGCTATATGGCGACGTATAACCGACCATGCATTTGAATATCACAAATATTTTCTATTAAATCAGTTTATAGTAAGTATTAAAACAAAATTTGCTTCAAACACGTTCAATTAACAAATATTGATT